CGAATCACATAGTATAGTAGGCGTACATTATTAATGTCAATAATAAATAACATTTTTAACTCTAAAATATAAAAAAACTGATAATGTTTTTTGATTAACTATGTTATTGTCATACTATAGTAACTATATTGGTTAGGATGCTTCTTAAACTGTAATTCTAATAATGGTTTCTTATTACCCATATATAGATTACCTCCTAAAATATGTGAAATAAACGATGAGTCATCGAGCCTTTTAAAAGTCCATGTAACTGATAAGCTTTTGAGAAGGTCTCCAAATATAGTTCAAAGGTCGCAAGAATACTCATTGATATGGAATGGTTTAAATTATCATGACGAATACATCCAACATTGACCTATTTGTTGATCCTAGGGGGTATTGGTTTGTGTTACTTAGCAAGATGTTTGACAAACGTTCATCGCGAGATAATACTTTATTGATAAAGATATTAATCTTCAAGAAGAACTGGTAATATTGGAATAAATATAAATTGGAAATAAAAACTTCACGAATATTTACAACATTTTTAATTAAAAACTCATTTACTCATGAAATTAAAAATTATAATCTAAAGTTCTAACCCATAAAACATGTATACAATATGGAAAAATCCGATTTTCTGAAAAAAAAAATTGGTTTTGATTAAAATAAGTACGTTATGGTTCTCATAATTCCAAACAAAATAGTGCAAACACCCATTGGTGTTAAAAGCTATCGCAACTTTTGTTTTCCCCCTTTAAATAGCATAGCTATTCTAAGTGCTTACCGACGATAATGGTTGTTGACAAGCCAATGGGAGAATGTATAGGTCAGATTGATGTAACAGTTTATTTACATTGTTATATTTTATACTGTAAATAGAGGGTGAATGTCGTAAAATGTTCACTACAGTATTGATTTCAAACAAATTGTTGATCCCACAATAATAAAATGAATTATTTCCCACTAAACCAACCCTAAGTAAAAATATTTCAAATTGTTTAAGAATAAAGCATATACCCAAACCAGATATTCACTAGTTCAAATCTCACAATTTTCAATAAAATACAGGTCATATTGAACTTAATTGTTCTATTCGACATCAGAATTTTACTTTTTATATTGTTTTTAAAGTGGCGACTATTTATGTCAAACATTTGGAATTATATTTAACACCCTATATTTTTCAGGAAAATGCAGATATCTCTAAGATAGTTAAACATTTGCATTTCTTATTAACTTTATACTTATTTTTAAACTAATTGTGCACGCAATATTACAATAATATCTCAAAAGATAAATATCTAAAGTAATATTCATTGAAGATATTTAGGTATTAAAAACTTAAAAATTCCAAATAACATCATATGTCAAACAGCATATCATTTCAACGGTATGGCAATTCCGACCAACTTTTTAATTTACAACTTATCAGTTATTATTTTAGTTTGTCTAGGTGTTAACCCATGTTTAAACCCATGTTAAACGTATGTTAATTAAACACATTGAGTCACAATGTCGAAAGAGGTACCAAAGGCACTGCAATGATTATTTTTTATGGGAAAACGTGTTTTAGTTGATAACTTTAAAACTAAAAGGGATGCGGATAAAGTTTAAATAAGGTTTGTAAGTGCTTTGTATTACATCAACTTTAAACTATAGTTATACCTTGGTGATTGTTTAGTGGTATTTTTTATTCCATCATTATGGGACTAACAATGATGGGGGACAATGATAGGTAGTTATAAAATAGGGATGACTATTGTCTGAAATCAATAGTGGTCAGATTCGCCCTGTATATACATACAGTAATTTACTGGTGTTGTATGATTTTTTTAAAATCCCAAATCACGCAATAAATATTTAGATACTGAAATGGGACTTTTCGTGTTCTTTTTAGGATATATATTCGCAAATGCAAGGTCAAATAGTAGGACACATCATTATTCAAGGACGGATTGAAAACTATTAAAATAATGTATAGACATAGTATCAAAATTACTATTTGTTTTTTCCACATTTTACGGTTAACTTAAATCACAACCCACCATTTCATAATGGTGTTTATAATGGTTATAATGGTTATTTATATAATGGCGTCTGTTTAATTAAGTGTGTCTATAGTCTACTTTAGGTTTATAGCTTTGAAAAGCTACTTAATATTCAGTATCAGTACAAATACATTTCGGGGTTGGAAATCAGTTACAAATAACGTTCAACCAACAATAACATAAAATGAAGATGTTTCTTCATAGAGCCAAAAAAGCCAGTCTTATATAATAAAGGCTCATGCACTGAAAATGTAGATATAGGTTGCCCTCAGTTTTCATAATGGCATAAGTACATTAAATGTTACAAATGTTTAAATTCCTTTTAAAATACTGTTCTATTTTGACAAAAAGTCTTTAAGGTGAAGTATTTTTGCAAATATGGAAAAGCAGTACCGTGTTTTGAGATTTGTTAGTAGGAGACCACAATGTTGGGGAGATTCCTGTTTCGCTCCAAAGTCCATAGTTGGGTGGGGTATCAGAGTTGAATAATCGCAGTCTGCAGGGTGCAGGCAGAGTGACCAGTGGCATTGACCGAGTAGAGTTGACGAGTTGTCTCGACTGTTGGAAAAAACATGTGAGTAAAAGGCATTTCATACATTTACACCATACATAAGGGTTTCCTATAAATTCTACCCACGTAACATTAAATTTTCTAGAGTACTGGATAGGAAATAAGTTGCTTAAAATTGCTTGACGTCAGTTCTGGTTTGCGCTTAAAACTATATGGTTACACACAACTTACGATGACGTAGGATTTGTATACATCTTATCCGATCTTATCTTAATATTACTATAAATGTAGAAGTTTATATGTTCTGGACCAATTGAGCAGATTGTTTCAGTAATTTAGTCAATATACCACAGATGAACATCGGCGTATTTTTATTTTTGTATATCACCTATTCCTCGAACCCACTATCCTACAAAGATATGTTATTGGTATGAATAATCTTGATTAATATTTGAACAAGCTGCTAAACCCGTACTTCGCAACGGGAGGAGAATGCGATGAGAATAATGTGGTTCCATAGACCTGGCGTATGAAGTGGTTACTTATCCATAGTTCATTTAAGAAAAAAAAAATCAATTTCACAGCTTGGCGTTATAAAGTTATTTTTTCAAATTAATTTAAATTTCCTAGACAACTTAGTTAACTTGGGTGTAAACTTGCGTGTTTAAAAATACTCTAACTATGATTTAATTTGAAAATAACATTTTACCTAAAAGTACCTAACCTACTTTAAATAAAACACCTACATTTAAGATAAACAGATAAACAATAATCGTACATATAATACAGAATAATAACATGCCATAGCGTAACATTTTATTATCATTATTTGTTTCTCATTCGTTTCAATGTTAAAGCGTGTTACACGTTAGATAAAATGGCTGGCTGTGTACACTCTGCATCCTGTAGCTCAAAAACGAGAAAGTTTAGAGAGAAAATTCAACGAAATACCATAAAATACAGAATTTCCAACATTTTATCATGTATAGCCGCCATTTTGGTGCCATTATAATGGCTTAATGGCCTTCTTTTAAACAATAAAATCAATTTCTTTATGAAATATTTTAGATTGTAAATTCAATCCTAAAACTTATTTAGTTATTGAATTACCTTTCCAAACTCATTTATGAGCTGCAGTAAGCAGAATGTACACCACATACAGGACTTTCTTATTATAGGTGTAACGCACTTTCAAGGATTTTGTAATAGGACTTTCAAGTAACTCTTAAACTAGTAGAGAAAATATCTGCGAAATAAAATCTTTTCTTCATATGATCAAAAAGTTAGCAAATAATTCGCTCACTTTAGGTGAGACACCCTGCATAATAGATCGTTGTTGTTATTGTTAGTATAACAATTGATATGTTATTGTTAGTATAAACCAGCACGTGTGGTAAGGGCTAGTTTCTAATTATTAATAGTTGGTGTCCAAAATTAACAACTGAGATACTACATATTAATTTCTAGCCATAAACTATTTTACGATTTATAATTATTATATAAAAGGTAAAATTGAACTATCAAACTACAAAAGTATATATATCAGCCAGAGAGCACAGCATTCAAAGATCTGATATAGTTGTCTACTGTTGATTCTGGTGAGGTTATGGTGAGGTAGAGGAGGTGGAATCGCTTCTCCTCAAACCTCCTAGATTTTGTAAACGAGTTTTTTTAGTGTTGGTAACATTTAATTAAGAACTATAGTTTCCCAAATTATAGAATTTTAGACACTGGGTTTTTACCTAGTAATTTGTACTTGTTGTACGAAATGTTATTTGTTTGTATCTTTCCTGTTTGTGCAAATTAAATAAGTCCATGAATTTCTAATTGAATTGTAATATTATAAAAAACCAGTCATTAATTGTAATGAGTTGCTTCTTATATTCTCACTAAAGATTCTTTAATTGGCATTAAGGGCTCCTGTATTTTTTTATAGGAATGTTTTTGGAAGTTACAATATGTGTTGGTTATCAACCTATTCGTGCCAATGATCCTTGAGCTTGAGATCAAGTGTTGTGAAGCTTTAGGTGTAAGACATTGTTTCTTGCACTTAATGGCAACTGAACCTGATTCTAGAGCTACTTTCTTGTAGCCGTGGATGCATATTTATGAATGAAAAATCTTCTATTTTGTTAATTGTAGTATATGGAGCCCAGAACGTGCATCCCCTATGCAAGTTTAACGTTATCAGTGGATCTTCTAGCCGCGCTGCGACTTGGTCCTGATTATACTTGCTCAGTTTCACTTCTCACCGACGAGAAGCACATTTTACTTTCTTCTACAACATCAAAGTGCTACTTCAGTATATTCCCATTGAAAAAAACTTGGAGGGTATAAAGAGCACAGTATGACTATACGAATACATACTGTATCCAGTAGTCGAGTGATTTCTTATCAAACAATGTGTTATCGCGTCGTGTGTCATGCATGCTGCTTGATATAGACGGTCGCAGATTGTTGGCTGTGCTGGTCGTGTTCGTCGCGTTCACTTCTGGCCCTCTGTATTGTGTTGTTTATCTTATTTGGAGAGAATTACAAAAACGAGTAAGTGACGTAGACTAGAGTAGATTCCAGCACAATTATTCTTAAGAGAATTAATCGATAGAACTCGAAACCAGATTTAGGAGTTTACACGCGGTAAGGAATTATTGAAGGAAATTTGGCATATAAATGGCTTTTCCAAATTTGGGCGCACTCAAATCACGCACTTCAACGCGTAAACCGTGCATATTGCTGAAAGAGAGCCCCCATACGAGTCTGACCACATTGATTTCAAATTGTTCAAAAATGTGTAAAATACATTAGGTTGCGCCGAAGAATTGTCATTGTTACACCGAGAGTGGAAACTCGTGCACGCGTTGGTAGTCCATCCCAATTCTGCTATGCGAGCCTAGTATAGATGAGAGAAGGAAAGAGAGCTTATAATATCCAAATCTAAATACGTCTATATTCATATTTACAGAAGTTAGTAACTGTACATTATTTATTAATATTAATATTAATTAACAACACTACACATACACTTTACGAGTAGAACACCGGTTAACCGAAACCCAGGTTAAACGAAACGGTTCTATAAATTAATACAAGGCTAAAATGTAAGTGCAATACTTAATATATGTAAATAGCGAGCCCCTCTCTCTAGAAATGGGTTTTCGTAACACATTGTAACATTTTTGTAGCTGAAACAAAACACTGTATTGTATAGACATTGTTTTAAATTCATTTTGCCTTCATACCGTAATACATAGGCTATTTTTATCACATGTTGGGTTAACAAAAAAATTTGTTATTCGAAACGACTCTTCCCCCTTTATCTCGGTTACCCGGGGTTCTACTGTAACTTCATTTGGTACTGATATATGTACATTACATGCAGTATGTTAAAGAACCTCTCACAATATAATATAATGATATGACTACTGAATAACTCCTGTATTCGCCAATTTAACAACTGTTTATAGTTAATAATATCACTACTGGCCAGACAACCAGTAAAATACTGGAGATCTTTCTAGCGGTTGAGTATTTTATTTCATTCAAGTACAATACTTGAGGCGGACGCTGAAGATTCAGGTACGGGTCATGTGCGTGGTTGATGGGGGGTGAGGACCTTGTGAGTGGTTCGTATGCACACCCAAACTTTACGATAGGTAATCTGAAAAATAGAAAAACTGTTATTTTCAAAGGATTATTTCTATAATGTTAAACACCTAAAGCAACGACCGCCATGTTAAAGCAAATTCCTATAATTTCTCAATTTTAACTATTATCTAGCTTTTATCCCTTCTAAATAATTAACTTAAGAATAGAGCAAAAGATCAAATTTCAATGCAGTTTTGTATCAGTGCCAATAGAATGTTGTACTTTTTATGCAGGATGCAGTGGAGTAGGCTCGCATCCAGCAGGAGCTCGACCCTAAACGATTTAATTTTTTGCCTATATTATTTGACCCAAGGGTATGTTTGAAAAACAGACAGAAGCTTTACAAAATATGTTTGCCAAATAATTTATTGGGAACGATGATGAATTAGGTTTCTTAGAACTGTATTTCGTTTTAGCAAATTTCCCTATAGGGAAGTAGCTATTATTGTAGGTGGCACGGTAAGACCTGGAGCCGGGATTGATACACTTTTTCATTTTGATGTCCATATAAATTTAGTGTTTTATTAAGGAACGCGGCAGCGTTCCGCCCCGCCAAGTCCCCCAGCGGTACACAGCTGCTGCAGTGTATATATACATGACGTGACAAAGTGGCTTTTTTACTCGTCTATAGCTCTGAAGAAACAAAAGCTATTAAAATAATTGTTCATCCACTGGATAGGGGCAATCATTCTTGGCAAAATAAAAAAAAGAATTTAAAAAAAGGTTGTGTTTGAGCCAAGAAAAACTAGTTTGAAAATTCAAAAATTTTCCGTGTTCTCCTTCTTCTCCTTAAATGTTGACGGACCTACAGCCCAAACCACTGGCTCAATTTTAATGTTTTTTATGTTGTTTGAAAGCCCTTAGAGTGTAGATGTGCCTTTTGAGGGTCACAAGTCGGTGCGTTGACCCATAAACCCTTGGCAAGCCCTCAAAGTACGATTTTGCCCATTTAAATAACATGGGATTAAAATCAAAACAAAAGAAGGATCAGCTGCGATTAAATCTCAATTAATTTAAAATGTTAGAGAAATTCATAGGATCAGCTGAAAAATTATTTTAAAACTTTTATAAAGTACTAGCTGTAACCCGCGGGCTTTGCCCCGTTTAACTTCTTAATTTTCAAGATTATCTCGTTCGCATGGCTCAATCACGTCCTGGTTGAAGTTTGTTCGCTACGCTCACTCACCTATAGGTTGGAGCTCGTTCGCTACGCTCACTCCCCTTTAGGTTGGAGCTCGTTCGCTGCGCTCACTTGCCTTCAGGTTAGCTCGTTCGCTAAGCTAACTCGCCTCTAGGTTGAAGTTTGTTCGCTACGCTCACTCACCTTTAGGTTGCAAATTAGCTGTTGTCATAAATGTAAAAGAAATAATAGTGCTGCACCCTGTTGGTAATCCTTTTGACTTTAATGCTATTGAACATCATAGAACAGAACCAACTTGTTTAATTGAAACAGCTGTTAAGATTCAATAATTCCATTTCTCATAAGGTTAACATGGGAAACTCCAGAGCCACTGGGGCGGAGCCCGAAAGGATTTTTGAAATAAGAATATGCCTATATGTTAATCGGGAATGTGAGCTATCATCATGCCAAATTTCAGCCCAATCCGACCAGTATTTTTCGCGTTCACTTGTCACAAACATACATCCATACATCCATACATCCATACATCCAAACTTTCTCATTTATAATATTAGTAGGATAATAGTGCTGCACCCTGTTGGTAATCCTTGTGACTTTAATGCTATTGAACATCATAGAACAGAACCAACTTGTTTAATTGAAACAGCTGTTAAGATTCAATAATTCCATTTCTCATAAGGTTAACATGGGAAACTCCAGAGCCACTGGGGCGGAGCCCGAAAGGATTTTTGAAATAAGAATATGCCTATATGTTAATCGGGAATGTGAGCTATCATCATGCCAAATTTCAGCCCAATCCGACCAGTATTTTTCGCGTTCACTTGTCACAAACATACATCCATACATCCATACATCCATCCATCCAAACTTTCTCATTTATAATATTAGTAGGATAGCTGTAACCCGCGGGCTTTGCCCCGTTTAACTTCTTAATTTTCAAGATTATCTCGTTCGCATGGCTCAATCACGTCCTGGTTGAAGTTTGTTCGCTACGCTCACTCACCTATAGGTTGGAGCTCGTTCGCTACGCTCACTCCCCTTTAGGTTGGAGCTCGTTCGCTGCGCTCACTTGCCTTCAGGTTAGCTCGTTCGCTAAGCTAACTCGCCTCTAGGTTGAAGTTTGTTCGCTACGCTCACTCACCTTTAGGTTGCAAATTAGCTGTTGTCATAAATGTAAAAGAAATAATAGTGCTGCACCCTGTTGGTAATCCTTTTGACTTTAATGCTATTGAACATCATAGAACAGAACCAACTTGTTTAATTGAAACAGCTGTTAAGATTCAATAATTCCATTTCTCATAAGGTTAACATGGGAAACTCCAGAGCCACTGGGGCGGAGCCCGAAAGGATTTTTGAAATAAGAATATGCCTATATGTTAATCGGGAATGTGAGCTATCATCATGCCAAATTTCAGCCCAATCCGACCAGTATTTTTCGCGTTCACTTGTCACAAACATACATCCATACATCCATACATCCATACATCCAAACTTTCTCATTTATAATATTAGTAGGATTTATTTCAGGTATACCGAATGATTTGAGCTACTTACTGTATAAAATTACTTAGAGCAGTGATATTCCCCGATACTTTCCATTGAAAAATGCAGTGTACCGATGGTACACTGGTACAGCAGCTCGTCATTTTTAACAGTTTAATACTACTTATCAAAACATATGAAACCTAGGAACTTGAAACTTAGTACTAGTACTAAGGTTAGTTTTAACATTGTTTCTTCATAATATTGCCAAAATTTATTTAACTAAATAAGGTTAGTTTTATGTTTTGATACACTAAAACAAATAAAACAATCGGGAAAATCCGTCTACGTATGTTAAACAAGCAAAAAAGTGAATGTAAAAAGTGATATGTAAATTATTTAGGATAAAAATGAGTTTTTCAATATTTGTTTTGCCTTATGCTATTTCTAACAAACCTAATCTGTTTGATTACATTTTTACTTCTCTAATAAGGGCTCAATTTACACTAGTCTTTAGATATACGGGTTTAATTATCGGAACACTTATGTAACACCAATGCATTTTATGTGTAGTTGTGCCCTGGTCTATATGTAAGAGAAAAGAGGATTTTTATTTTAACTGTTAATTTTCTACAAAAATAAATACAATCTAACAAAAAACCACTAAGTGGTAACACTTCCCCCGCCAAGTCAGCAACCCAAAAAAGACAATAAATCACCACTTTTCCGCCAAGTAAAACAATGTAATGTATGTAAGTTTGGCCACTTGGCGGCAGACTTTTGCTTGATCACTTTAAAAAATACCATAAAATTAGTTTCATTGAGCAAGTATCTCTCCCAATAGTACATTGCTAGATGAGAGCTTATTTTACAAAATTTGACCTTATTTGTGTCACATTTCATAAAATCATAATAGTGATGGTTTTATATTTACTGATTACCTCGAAATTATTATACTTAGTTGGACTAATTAATTAGAGAAGTTGATTTGTGAAATTATCCACCAACGTAACTTTAATGAAAAAAAAAAACAAGCAAAAGTCTGCCGCCAAGTTGCCAAACTTACATACATTACATTGTTTTACTTGGCGGAAAAGTGGTGATTTATTGTCTTTTTTGGGTTGCTGACTTGGCGGGGGAAGTGTTACCACTTAGTGGTTTTTTGTTAGATACATTACTAGCTGTACCCGCGGGCTTTGCCCCGTTTAACTCCTTAATTTTCAAGATGAGCTCGTTCGCATGGCTCAATCACGTCCTGGTGAGCTCTTTCGCTGCGCTCACTTGCCTTCAGGTTAGTTCGTTCGCTACGCTAACTCACCCCCAGTTTGAAGTTCGTTCGCTACGCTCACTCACCTTTTGGTTGCTTGCAAATTAGCTGTTGTCATATATTAAAAAAAAATAATAGTGCTGCATCCTGTTGGTAATCCTTGTAAATTTAATGCTATTGAACATCATAGAAAAGAACCAACTTGTTTAATTGAAACAGCGGTTAAGATTCATTAGTTCCTTTTAAATATGACAAATCATAAGGTTAACATGGGAAACTCCAAAGCCACTGGGGCGGAGCCCGAATGCCCGATCAGAATAAAAACTACTTAGTTTCCTTATTTAATGCCCAACGAATCAGTGTACCGAATTTCAGCCTCCTAGGTAAATGGGAAGTGGGAGAATTAGTGAGAGTGAGTGTGTCAGTGAGTCAGTGAGGGCTTTGCCTTTTATAAGTATAGATTAGATTAATACATACATATATATATATATATATATATATATATATATATATATATATATATATATACGTCCGTGAACGCGATAACTTGAGTAATTTTTGTCCGATTTTTACAACATTTGGTTTGAAGGTGTAAGAAGGGATAAGCTTGAATGAGTTTGCGAACCAGCATGATCAGACCTTGGGAACAGGGTTTGACGGGGGGTTTGTATGGAGTAAAAATGGGTTTTTCTAATTTTTGACCCTCGAAACACAAAATTTCCCAAGACCAAAATTTTCTAGACAATTTTAAAGAGCTTAAAAATCACAAATAATTTAGTATACCAAAGTGTTTTGTACGGTTATTGCTAACGGAGAAAATTCAAAATATTGTAAATTTAAAATTCTCATGTTATACTTATGCAGAATATTGTAAAATGGTGTGCGTAGTTTGTTTGTTTATGGAAATATTTTGAGCAAACTTGGCAAATCTTTTATTTTATGCTAAGCTACTAATATTTTACTAAAAAGACACTTTATTAACCTCCCTGTAGCAGCAAATCTAGGTACTCTTTAAACCTAGTGTTATTTAAATAGATTTAATTTAAAATCAATTCAGGCAAGTGGACATTCGCTTAGGGTGCAGGTTTGCTGCGGCGGGGGTATTTAGTCAATTTGTAACCTAATGTTACTTCAGAAGTAACCAATATTGTTATAAAATCGCCAAAATAAGTGTCAGAATCCGTAATTTAACTAATAAGTTTTACAAATATATGTTACAATTTGTCCGTTGTTATAATAATATTTGCAGTATTATCTGTTATAATGTGTTTAGCATAACATATTTAGTTTACTGATGATTAGTAAGCTTCTGAGTATTTATCAAGTATTTATTAAGTATTTATCAAATACTTTTTGTTTCAGGATGGCTTTAGGGTTTGCATTCAACAACAGAGTAAGTATAAGTTGATTTTAACACATACTACCTTGCTATATAGCCTTAAATATGGCTACCGATACTTAATACTTGTTACAACAAGCTTTGTAGCTATTTAGTCAGTGGTAATACAACCATTCGGGATTCGGGTTTCTTTAAAACAGTTGTAAAGAGCTTTCACAGCTTTGGTTGGTAATAGTATACATTTTTTTATCTTTGTGCTAAGCCCTTTTAATACCCTTGACAAGTTGAAGAAGATTCTAAATGGGGATTCAGTAAACTTCATAATTAAAAATTACATTAAAAGAACAATTTTTAAAACCGTGAATCATCGTCCCACTCTCTGTGTTCCAGTGACACTTCTTTAGAAAATCGTACTACATTTGGTAAAAAACCTTTAAACAATAGTCTTAAGGGGTGAATTTTATTAACGACCGATAAGGTATCAATGGCAGGGCTGTCAAGAACCAAGCACAGGTAAGAGATGCATTGTCAAGGTGGTTTCTAAGATGTAGTAACAACCCATATTAAAGTTATGTATAAGCCTACTTATTTCCAGGCAGTGCCAACTGTAATTCCTGTCAGTGGCTTCAACGCTGTCGAGGACGCCGTGGCGCTGCGTCAGGCGATGAAGGGGTTCGGAACTGATGAACAAGCCATCATAGACATTCTGACCAAGCGATCCTACAACCAGAGACAGGAGATCTCCAAAACATACGCTACGGAGATTGAACGAGTAAGCTCAAATGCCTATTTTGTTTGTTTGTTTACTAGTGATTACTAAAGTAAATCTTTATTTAGAATCTAGTGAGAATCTTGGATGTAAACATATTTTAGATATACCAAAATCCAACAAGAAATGTTGAGGATATACTCATATCATGAAGTATGGCAATTAGTAATTTGAAGTATATATTTAAAAAAATATTTCTTTCTTTAGGATCTGATTCGGGACCTGAAAAGTGAACTGTCTGGCAATTTCAAAAAGGTTATTATCGGACTGATGACTCACCCAGTAGAATATCTTTGTGAACAACTCCACAATGCGCTGACGGGGATTTTGAGATGTAACAAAATGGCCCTGGTTGAGATTTTATGTACCCGCGACTACAAGGAGATCAAACAAATCAATGACACATATGAAATATGTAAGTATAAAACACACGTAGAATCATAATTGATCAGTTTTAATCTCTCTTTGTTATATTTCCAACATATTTTCTCTTTGTTTCCATTTAAAAAGGTCGTAGCAAGTATTTTTCACTAGCATGCCTACAATAATATGTACACAATACATGTTTAAGCAACAAAACCCCTACTGTTACCCAACGGCCATTTTTGGCCACACTCGTAATCTACATATTTCTGTTTAATCTGGATAACCTACACGTGGTACTGATACACCTATATTACATGCAGCATGTTCTAGAACCTCTCACAATATCATGATGAGACTAGTTAACAATCCAGAACAATTGACAAGTAAAACATAATGCACCGTTTCAGAAGTGGATCCCGTATAAAGTATTTAATAAAAACCAGGCAGATAGGAAAGTAAAACAGTACCTAGTTACATAAAATACCCTAGTATAACTGAATGTTAACCTCAGTCATATAAATAAAAAAGGTTAGTAAAAACACAGTTAATCTTATACAGTATGATGCATTAATTAAATTACCTCTAACATTAATATAGCTTTTTCTTTTCCATATTTTATAGGTCAAATAATAAGTTTATATTTGCTATACCTGAGTTGTTAATTGAAATACTAAAATCAATTATTAAACTATTATTTTACATTTTCCTGGTTTACGAAATGAAATCAGTAAAATCATTTGGGTTCTTTGTCTACTTTTCTTCGTTACACGATATTTATTCCCTTGAATCATATCAAACATGTAAGAACTTGTTACATAGAGTTTTTTCGTACTCCTGTGATACAAGTGAAATTAACTATGTTGTATTCATATATTTTATTTTGTTAAAAACCATGCTTTACAATATACAGTTTTTATTTTATTATGTTATTTTATTTTTAGTGTACAAAAGACCATTGATAGAACACGTATGTAGTGTGACCAGTGGAGACTTCAGAAGATTTATGACTTTGATTGCAACGGTGAGTTATTTACTACTAGATGCTATACCCGAATGCAAAAGAGGCAATGTTAGTTCTTTGAAAATTCTATAACATGATAGCACATCTACTATTTGATTTAGAAACGAAATTGAATTGTACCACTTAGCAACTCAGGCTGTGAAACATTAGACTACATTGAACTGTAGGCCTACCACTTAGCAGCTCAGACTGTGAAACATTTGGGCTACCTAGGATTTTATTTTGTCAACAAATAACTTGCAAAAAGCTGGTTAATTTTGAAATTCTTATAGCAAGTGTGGCTTTGAACGTTCCATAATTCAAGGCACTTCGATATTTACAATCTTACCAATTATTATAGAAAAATAACATTAAAACTCATTCCACAGATTTTAGAAACCAAAGGCAACTGCACACCACTTGGTTTTAAAATATTACCTTTGGTTTAATTTAAACAGCTAATCACAACCACTAAATTAATTGTCATGATAAAGTTAAGTAAAAATAGGAATAGCTATTTTTTCAACATAAAAGCATGCATGAAACACAGGCCATAACAGGATTCATGTATAACAATAGGATAAAAAACATTTACTTCTGCTTGTTGCTGTATCCCAAATTAGTGTTAGATTTTAATGTTTATTCAAATTACATGCTGAGTAGTTTGTATTGTAAACTAAAAATTACCACAATAGTTCCAAACCTGTGCATAATGTAATTCCAAACTAAGGAGGCATTTTAGTGAACATATAATCAGGCGAATGGAAATTTGCTTTGTCTGCAGGTTTTCTTCAGCGGAGGTATTTTTTTACTGTTTCCACAAAAATATATCTATAAAACTGAGGATAACAGCGGATGATGATATGGCAACAGTTATAGAATCTAACTTATTTTATCAATGAAAGATTTATTTTATCAACGACTTATTCCATATGAAATGTTATCTCACTCTTAAATTTGTTTAAATCAACTGTGTTGAATTGTTGTGAAGTCAAGTACATTTGACACTAGTTCTGCTTGTTTACATTATGATTTTTCTCTTTGTTGTCATGTTTACCTATCAATATTTACTTTTAAAACTCTCACCTCAGAAATATAAAAGCCCATGGGGCAGAGCTCTGAATCAATATCGAAGCGGGAACAGTTCTATATGTATCCTGGAAGCAGTGTCCTTTATTTTGTGCAGCTTGAGCCCAGTCGGTTCAGTAGTTTTTTTAGTTTAGCTCATACAGACACTAGACTGGCTGGGTAGCTGAGTGGTTATAGTGCTCGCCTATATAGTAATAAAAAGGTCGCCGGTTCGATCCTGAGAAAAGTCAGTAGCTTTTTGATGGTTCGAATCTGGACCCAGCTGTTCCTGATAAAAAATAAATGCAATCGGCTTTAAATAAATGATCCTGACTAATGAATCCGCTGATCTTAGTCAGTAACAAAGCTACACAGGTCATCACACAACATTCTACACTCATCCTTCACTCATATTTGGGTTAAAATACGCACCTAGGTGGCGTCCTCATCTCAATGATTGACTATTGATTGATAATTGACAATTGAATGAAAAAGACAGACAGACAGATACCACCTCGTCTTTATAATAGTATGGATGGATAGATATAGATAGATAGATAGGTAGATAGATAGATAGATGGATGGATATTCAAAGTTATCCATGTTATAAAAAGTTTGAAAGTTATATATATTAGTTATATTAGAAGTTCACAAAGGTTCACACGTCAGACAAAGGTATATTTATGTAAGAATTGTGTGATAGAACCCTGCATCCTAAGTTTCTATTAGAATTGAATTATTATAAAAATTATAGTTCATCACACGGGCACAAAGTGTCTTTTCAACCCTCGCTCATTTTCGGACCTCGGTTTCACCTTGATAGTAAAACTTGAGCTTGGGTTGAAAAGATTCACTTTATGCCATAGTGATGAAATAAACTATTTATCAGATGAGATAAGTGTCTCATATCTTGCAAGGGGTATCGATAAAAATGTAGAATAATGAGTCCTTAATATTTTTGTTTTGTTTAGGAAGTATAATGCCTAAATATAAATAAATTCTCAATATAGTTTAGAAATATATTGTCTTAAGACAATCGCTGTTTCTAGGCTGTAAGAAATCAACCAATGCAAGTGTGTCCGGAGAGAGCCAGAGAACAGGCTGAAGCTCTTTATGCAGCAGGTAAAGTAACTACCTACACTAAGATAATGATTAAGTGCACTAAGAAAGCAATAACTAAACCCTTTAGAAAACTCGTAACAAAACAAAAGTATAAGAAGTGTTTTTAGTAAAATATTATTTGTAACAACTACTGTCAGTTTCCTGTTAAAAAGACTAGGAAACAAGAAAAGAGTTGGTATGATCTCCTGTTAAAAGGGACCAAATACAAACATCTGAAAAAGATAATGAAAATTTTCTGTTTTCTACTTTGATTACTTTGATTTCTTACTTTGATTTGGGGAGCGAGCTGGCGTAGTGGTTAGAGCGCGGGACTTCAGTCCCTGAGGTCTCGGGTTCGATCCCTGCCAAGTCACCAATGGATTTTATATAAGTGATAATGCCGCAACCCCTAGGTCTAGCCTGAAGTAATGTGAAAAACAATCCCAGGCTCGTGCCTAGCGTCCATAAGGACAAAAAAACTTTGATTAAAAACTGAATGCTCATTTTTAGGAGAAGCAAAATGGGGTACCGATGAAGCTGTTTTCAACAAAATCTTGGCCCACGAAAGCTATGGCCAGCTGAAATTAGTATTTGAAGAGTACAAGAAGATATCAGGACGAACAATCAAACAGGCGCTGCAAAGTGAACTGAGCGGATCTTTGCTGGACGCCATGTTGGCAGTGGGTGAGAAAATTATTGAAGTTTGAACAGTTTGACTAACTTTTGAACAGCTACGTCATTTATTCTCATGATGAGTGTAAAATGCTGGTGGAATTGATAGCCGTATATAATTTTTACCAAGGATATGGTCTATAGTCATAATTATTCCGTGATACAAGAATGATAAGCTTGATATGCTTGCTAGCCATAAGATAATTTTTTAAGTACAGTGGATCTGTCTACATCGTAAATGGGTTATTATAATAATTATAACCTAATAATACACCAAATAATATAACCTAACTTAACCTAAGGATCTAAGGTATTGACACCCCTTTCTGCATCCTAGAATAGCATACACTCAATTTGATTTGAATATTTCTTTTTCTTCGTTTTAAGTGTAGTGTTTCGTCGTTTCGTGTTTGTCTCTGAATTCAAGGAAGATCTCCATCAATTATCTTGAACTCCTTTGTGCGGTTATTGTTTTATTTGCATTTTTACTGTTCACAGTGCAAAATATAGAAAATCCAAAAACCTTTTACGCCAACCAACTTTACAAAGCTATAGATGGACTGGGAACTGACGACGCCACCTTGATCCGTATCATCGTCAGTCGCTGTGAGATTGACCTTGGCAATATCAAGCAGGAATATGAGCGACTCTACGGGAAAACTTTGGAGAGTGATGTCAAGGTTAGTATTCCTGTTATTAGTACGATGCATTCTTTTATTTTAGAGTGGAATGAAATGAGTCCAGTTAATACGTAAATTACGAGATAATTATCGTAAACTTATCATCAGCCCAACAACACATCCTAGCTAACTTTATAATAAGAGAATTTCCAGGTCACTGAGCTCTCAATGTTTGGGGTAACCAGTGATATAATTATTGATCAACTCCCATTATGAATGTGTTGGCTAAATTCGCATAATTTCCAACATTAAAGCAAGTTTATATATGAAAAATATATAATTTATTAGCAATATAAAACTAATTAGAATTACACAGCACTACATCTCGATAGCCAATGTGAATTAATTTACGACAGTTTTGATATCATGTGAAAATTAAATTTTTTTTATTATTGCAAAAGGCTTACACGACCCCTTTTCTCAGGTTGAATTAGAAAGATTCGTGAATATATTTAAGTGTCATCATAACAAAAACTTATTCCAAAATCCATTGGGGAAATGGAACAATTTTTTTAATCAAATGCACAATCTTCAAAATATTATTTTTACTATACTGTAGTTCGTATTGGGGAATATGCTGTCAGTCTGCCCAGTTTCTACCCATTTATTCATTCTAGAGCTGATTTATACTATCGTGTTAGTTCTTATTTTGTGTATTGGCTTTTTACTGCATTAAAACTATCCCAAGTGTAGGAAATAAACCTACTGTTGATCAATTATAATTAGAGTAAGTTGTTATTTGGAAGTATGAGAAGTGTAAATTTCGTAACCAAATTTGAGAAAGGGCTAGAACAACACAATGCAACATTAACAGCATCAGCAAACTGACACATACTGTACAGGCTTTGAAGACGTATGAAATTGATAATTTGTCAAAGCTTTGTATTTTTGAATTCAGCTTTAAGGTTGTTTGATAATAACACAAGAACAACTTATGGACTGGAAAATAATAATGTTTAATACATGTCCAACTTTTGGCAATCTTATGACTTTTTTACTAGACCAATGTTCCATTAATGAACTTACAAAATATCCCATGAATGTATAGTAACTTCCAGAATGTTAAGTCAAGCTCTCACAAGGTTTTGATGTCAACTCAACCCAATTCAACTAATACTCAGTCAAATCAGTACACATCTTACTCTTTAAGTTGTTTTTATGTGTAAGGGTAACCTTCAACTCTTTCATAGCGAACAGTTCCAAGCACTCATCCATGATGAAAAATCCACTAAACCCAACGCTGTTGTTCCCCTAAAAAGTATCTAACCCCCGCTGAAATTCCCGCTCAAAATCTCTCATTCAGTTAGAAAATCAAAACAATACGCAATCTAATATATTCGCCTTAAACGTATTGATTGAAGATGCTTTTGGTAACTGCAATGATTAATTGTTGGCTCGTTATTGATGTCAATTTTATCACGAAATCTCTAGCACACAGTTTGAGCTTACCGCTTGAAAGGTGCTCAGTGGATACAATGGGCATTGACCACTCCTCTAAAATTACTGCTAAGAGTATTGTTTAATGCAATGCCCCCTCCTTCTGTCAGCAGAATTTTTTTCTCCAACTTGATACTATTGTTATACCGCAAATCGCCACAGATCTTCCCGCATCGTCGCCTCCCGTTTATATTAGGAATGAATTTGTACACCTGCTCTTGGCTGATCCGGACTTTGACTGTCTGCAAAAGCTTAATCATCGTATATAAAATACAGATTACTTAAAAATATATACCGTATCCGCGTGGCATTTATTTGCAAAGCATTAGGTTTGCTTTAAAACGGCCAGATATTGTTTTTCTAATGGTAAGCAACTTGATAGACAAACAAACTACCGTTCTGAATATAATCAGGTTTCAACTGACTGTAACATCCTCGTTTGTAGAACGGGCACACTGCTAGTTATAACTTAGTTCACAACCTATATGCCTTGTCACTCAAACTAACAAATGTTGACTTTCACAAATTTATTATAGGGTGTGTATTGTTATCCCTTCAATAACATTGCATTGTTTTGAGTTTTAATAAAGGAGAATTGGATACGAATTTCGGCTAGTGAAGTAGCACTATTCGTTTGAAAAAAAAAAAAATAAGAGTAAAAACAGTCATAAAACAAAATTGTAATGTAATTGAAAATAGGAATTTAAAGAATTTTCCAAAATATATAGAGATCAGTATTTAGAGAAACACATATCAGAGGTTTCCCTTTACTGACATTGGTATTTTTACAGGGTGATACGTCTGGAGACTACATGAAAACTCTCGTTGCGCTCATCGGCGGTCCCTGATGTAACTTATCAATGTTAACAAATTAAACTCAAGACTAATACTCTATTTTTATTCGAGTTTTGACAGAAAATGTGTAAGCAAGCTTAGAGCACATTATAGCTAGTGTTAAATAAGTAAATGAAAAGACTCGAAACACTCAGGAAATGTGAAATGTGGCCAATCTTAAATTATCCTGCAATATTTTGTTCAAACTTATGAGGTACAATGATAGTAACTTGTGAGCTTTTGGGTCTGTTCGTATAAGATCTGTTTTAAGGTATTATTAGTTAAGATCAAGTAATATGTTGTATTTATAATGAGTGAAATGTATATGACGAATGTCAATATTCACCAAAGATGTTTTATCATATGACAATGAGCTGTTCACGCTAACAAAAGTGTTGTAATTAAAATACTTTTATATTATTAATGTTTTTCACTATTCATCCCACTGTTACTCATTGTATTTCCTGCTGAAATTTCAAACTTTATTCGGTTAGATAGTTAGGAATAAATTGTTCAACTATAACTGCACTTCATTCTAAAATATGGTATGGATACTACTTTGCCTGGCATAGAATGCATTTTATATACCACACTTCATATTTATTTTAACATCCAATTGTGAATTATATACTGTCAAAATATATGACAAATGAATAAAAGTATAACAGTTCACGAAGAAAAACCTTCACCAATTAGGCCTAGTAGAACCACATAAACTACAGGATATCTATAATCCACATTCGTGCAAGGATGACAATTTTACCACAAATACCTGCTGCCCTCGTCATTTTCGAAATGTAATTTTAGATTCAATTACAGGAACGTACTACTGCAAACTCGATTTGTTGGATTAATTTGGATGGTTGAGCTTAATCAATATGTAACTGATGATTTGGATTTTACTTTACAGTTCCGAAGGTTTCTATGCCGTAATGGGTTTTTGTAATACAAATAGTACAAATAGTACAATTGCATTACAAATAGTATTACTTTTAAATAAAAAGTAAGTTTATTTAACACACTATTACAATGACGATTCATTTGTTGAATTGGCTGAACTATGCCTTCATATAAACTAATATGTTAATAAGTGATTGACTTTCATTAATTACCAAAGAGGTTTTTAGCACACAGCGTAAATCTGCTTCTATTTACAGTTGACTAATAAAACCCAGCAGCACTCTGGAATTATCTATGGTAATTTATATTTGGAGGAGAATTAAAACAACTTACATAATTATTATATATTTTAAACTGAGATAATTTTCAGATAAATCGTCTATTAATACCTAAAGTTGGATGGGAATTTATTAGAAATAATCTCCTTGGTTCATGCAATAAAAGTTCAGTGATTGTAATATTTCAATCCACCTCGAGTCAGGCACCTGCCAAATCAACAGGAAATGGATTCGTCACTCAGATGCGTGCGGGTGACACTTCCATATAATTTTTTAAACATAACTTTAAACGCAATTTTTACCGGTTACAATTAACCAACAGTATAATATTCAATGGCATATAGTTTCACTATAAAATATACAGGATGTCCTACAAAGAGGTTTAAACGTTAGATTTTATATTACTTGGCCATTTATAGGCCGAACGTTTTGAGATTTAACACAGTTTATAAAGTAAATTGTAAAAATATTCTGTGCAAATTTCAGGCCCCTGACCTTGTTGTTTTAAAATGGTGACATATTAAATACCTTACCAGTTTGCTTTCTATCAAAATCACTTTCTCGAGTAATTATCTGATTTGTTTACTACGTTGCTATGATACACACATTAAATGACTGGGAATAGGTATGCACAAGTTTTGAATTAACAAGTCTTGACTCATTTTATGGTCCAAAAAATGGGTCAACAAATCTTCCGACTAAACGAAGCTCCACCTCATTTCTTAAATTATGTGAAGCAATTACTAAATGACCTTCATGGCCGTTGGATTGCTCATGGAAGTGATTTTTAGGTTGTCTACCTCAATCTCCATATTTAACTGAGTGACTTATTTTTATGGAGTATCTTAAAGGAACGAGTTTATACCCATAGTTTAAATGGTGCTAAAACGACCAATTGAAGAGGAACCTCCCCAGATACAGCATAATTAATTTGTAAGAACTAACGATTCATTTTTTAAACGCTGTTATCAGTGTGTCGCTGTGGATGGATCACACTTTATTTTATGCAGTGTGTTACACTCTACGATAGAGCTGCTTGAACAAAATCTTGAGGTGATAATGCCTCGCCAGTGTTACAAGCATAATAATGGGCATACCAAGATAAAAAATAAACAAACTAAGTTAGGGCAGATTTAACTTCTATGGTAAACCAAATGTGAACAAAGAAATGTTCATACTAATATCAGCAATCCACAGACGGACGTACATTTTCAACCATAAACATAGTAAGTAATAATTTGGTTGGATAGGTACACTATAGATCGAACACTAAGTACCACTGAATACCTAACATAAAATTATGTCTGGAATAGCTGTATTATATAGAAGAAAGAGTATAACCATACCCTACCAACAAATGGTAGTTTTTTAAGGCATGCTGTATACTTATCATTAACAGATATGATGGTATCATTTCATTATTACAGCGATGCCATTACGGTTTCCTGTTACATTTGAATCACTGGTTGGCTACAGTTTATCTGTAACCGTACTGGGTAACATACTATGTTATCATACTTTAATGGACCTTACAGCTGTTGTTATACACTGAACTACCAATTTACAAAATTATTACATTAACGAACTGTAAATAATGTAATAATTGTATACCTGTAAATCAATACAAATAATGAGACTAGACTAATACAAAATTATTTATGTTGTGTAGTTGATTAATCCAATGACAATGTTATTTTTGCCATCAGTCTAGTATCAGGCCAAAGTATTTTGTATGTGTAAAAATGAGTAATGTTTGGTTTCGTACTTAAATTTCAAATTTTAAAAGGGTGCAAGATTCGTCTCCGAGACAAAACCATAACTTTTTACCGTTTGTATAATTTCTTCCTACCTTAAAAGTTTAACAATTGAAAAATTTTGTGATATATATATTTAAACATTTATTTAAGCCGGTAAACTCCTCGAAGAGTGATTTACCTACCTAAATCAGGCTACAAATAACTGTTGACAGAAAAAGCTTAACATTATTTTCTCCAACTGTTACTGCTTAGTTTACAGTCTGACGGTGATTAACAATTCAACTGACTATAAAAAGCTGTTAAATTATTACTAGTGGAACCCCGTCGAAATCGACGGTAAATCTTGAGGTTTTATGTAAATTCAGCTAACTGCGATGGATAGAGTGAAGTCATTAGAATCTTAGTTAAATGGAGGGAGGATAAGCAATAATAAGTATGACGATTGCGTTCCCTAAAAAACGTGATTGATGAAATTCGTTTAACACAATATTTCCTACCTTTTTATCGGCTTTAGGTTGCCCAAAAGGTTTTTAGGAGTCTTATAATTGTTTGTTCATGAGTTTGTTTCATACCAAAGCCACTTTCACTATATGGGAGAATGAGTTCATATAATTATTCTATCATGTTACGGAAAGAGTCAATATTTATTACTAACCAAACCACTAATTCCATCTGCTTTAGGAAAATCATTCAGATTGTATCCAGATTTATAAGCTATCTTCATCTTTGGTCATAAAAATACAGAATTCTATCAGCATATTAAATCAGTTTTTTTTTTTTTTTTTTATAAAAATATCTGATTCTCCAGAAAGCAGTAACATTCTTACTTCGATCTCAGCAATTTTAATTCCTTCTCTTGCCACATCGACCCATGTATTTAATCATCCTGTTCTTACTTGATAATTCATTAACTTATGGGGTAGTTTTGCCTTGGCCATATAGATCACATAAAGCTGTGCATGCATTTTGTGGATTGGAATGAACCATAATTGTAGGAAATTTTATCACAAATCTTGAACATTTGCGAAACCAAATCCATAACCTAGTCCAGCCTTGGTAACAAATTATGCAAATGCGATGAGATGTGATGACACTGTTGTGTTTCCGAATGGTTTGTATGTAGTGAGGTTTAGATGCGTTGTTCGACCTAGCTACATGTGTACATCAAAGTAAAAACTGTGTACACATTTTTTTTAAATACCTGAATTGACATTAGTTCACCTACTTTACCAAAACCATAGACTACGTAGTTAGTCTATTCCAAAACTTGAACACAGCTCTCATCCTCAACGTACTCATCTATGACACAATTTTCAACCCAAAATTTTCTAAAAGCAATAAAGCATTGATTTTTGAACAAAACATTTAAAACGTATCATAAATTCATCATTTTTGTGAAACTATAAAAACTTGCCATGCAGTGGAGAATCCATTTAAAATAATAAATAATAATGTAAACATTTAATTTTGACAGTTTCAGTAGACCTTTGAATACAATTTTAATATTAACAGCTGGTTCATTAAAAGTAGTGTAAAATTATCCATATGGTCGAAATGTAAACAAAATTGCAGAGTGAACTTAAAAGGCCTCTGGGGCAGAGGCTTAAGAAAATTTACCTCGTTTCTCTTTTGAGAGCTCACCTACAGACCAATACCTTTCTTTAGACACCCCTACCAAGTTTATACGCCCAGCCGTTCTCTCAAATTAGCTGTGACAAAAACCTCGTTTTCCTCCATAAGAATAACATGGTATGGGAATTTAAAGGCCACTGGGGCAGAGCCCCGAGGGAATTATCCATGTTTCTCTTTTGATGGCTCATCTACAGACCAGAACCTTTCTTTAGATACCTCTACCGAGTTTCTACGCCCAGCCGTTCTCTCAAAATAGCTGTCACAAAGAAAAACAGTTTCAAATTAATATATAGATTCACAAAAACTCGTTGTAATGAAAAATGGATCTTTGAAAGCGCAATCTATAATATATCAATGGCTGGGGGAGGAAGGCCTAGAGGGAACAACATTTTAAAACACCATTACTAGTTCCTGCGGTAAATCATAAGCTTTAATATGACACCACATTTACTTTTAGTAGAGGGCATTTAAAAGACTCTTTCCATTTAAAGAGCCAACAACAAATCCATGTGTGTTTCATTATTACTTTTCCTTGAATGGTAGGAAATCATTTAAAATATTTGGTACCGTTCTGTCGGTTTTGAGTGAAAAGAATATTTATGAAAAGGAACATTTAGGCATCGATATTAAAAAGAGTCATAACCATCATGATAATTATCTTGTATCTTATGGCACAGATTCAAGTCCCTTCCTTGCGTCATGCGTGCGTCATAATGACACATGAGTATGCGTCACCATAATGATTGCCAGAACAATGTGTCAAAGTATCTTGGTTGTTTCTATGTAAAAATTATGTGTGCTGGTTACTGAAAATAATTGTTACATCAAGAAATTGCACGCTGTGAATTTGAATTGTTTAGATTTTATCACAATTATATGAACATACATTATACAATAAAGTAGTGAGTAACAAGTACCTTTGTGGCCAAGAATTATTTACCGTTTGTCATACATGCACACATAAAATAAGTATTTACCCAAGATATAAGTTCAATATTTATTGTGCCGTTATCCATGGTCCGTGATAGGTTTACAAACATACCTGCTATTGGTGACTTAAGGATAGAAGACTATCAGTTCCGATTGTAATGACATCTTCATGAAACCAGCTATCAAACTATATTGACAAAGCCCTGTTGCAAGTTTAAATCTCTTTAAACTGCTTCAATGTGAAGCACACCCTTCACATTGAAATATTGACTGTGTTAAATTGCTATTTAATAGGAAAACTTCACTTTGGCTTTGCATTATTCATCAAACGCACATGTAGAAGCTGAGTCTAATGTATCCACACTTCATCGATCATGAGGTGTAAAGACAATAACACGACCTGTCGATCCGTCAACGATAAACCTGGTGGGGAAGCTCCCCTGGTGAATGTGAGGAAGCTGTGTGATATAGAGTCTCGTACAGTTTACTACTGTAGTATAGTTGATGTTTCACAAGACTGACAAACATTTCAGACATGGCCCGGCTGCGAGGTTAACTCGTACTTATATTATTTATAAAACCTAATAGTTATAAATTCTATAAAAATAAAATTGTTGTAGGAAACAAAAACTACAATTTGTTATAACATGTTAGAATAAATTATAGTTATATTACGATTATTTCTGAAAATGAATTTAAATGTCTACTTAATGAGTCTACAAGGACAACAGATAAAACTGCGCCCTTAATAAATCATGTATTTTCGATGCTATGAAGCAATGCACACATTACTGACCACTCAATGATACCAATAGAAGTTAATATAACTGATGGTAAGACAGTCTTGTCCGCTGATTGTTTTGATCCTGCAATTGACAGAACTGATAACAGAAAAGTTTTATCTCATCTTGATTATATGGACTGGCAGGATATTTACACACACCAAAATCCTTCCCCTGCACTTAATATTTTTCAAAATAAACTTGTGGAATTTATATTGAACAGTTGGGAAATATAAAATAAAAATAGTATACATATACTGATCTTCATAATTTATAAAAGCAAAATAAAGAATAACTTCTACAAAGTTAACTAAATGGTAAAAAACATTATTATTAAAAATTCAAAAATAAACATAAAAATAGTTATTTTTTTCTTTGTTTTTTTGTATACAAAGCTTTTCGTAAACCCAAAACTGTTGTTGATTTTAAAAGTTCGGGTGGATTTTCCAATTAACTGAAGACTTGGCTTAGTGCAGTTTTATACATATGCTAACAGATTAAATATTTTTTTTTACTTTTCACTAAGAACATTCAATATTTATTTGCTATACTGGATTACATTGTATAAAGGTAGTTTTTAAACAATTGATGAATGGAATCGATTCATAGTGTTTTCTAAAATAGAAGACTTAAAATATATTGATATTAAAAGGGTACCACCACTTTAATACTACAGGTTTTAAAACCGTAGTATTTTAAGTTATTTTATGACAACTACAGAGTAGTGTTTTTTTTTTTAGATGACAGGAAAAATACAAAAGCTGACAAGAGACTCAAAATTCACAGTGATTTTCATTAATCGGTTAATAAATAATAAATAGCTTCGTTACTTAGTAAACAACGTCTAAACAAACATAGAGAGCAAGCAGTGATTGTTAGATAAACAGATTCCACAGTGTTAATACATCTCCGTGTACATGTTGGCACATACCTAATTTGCATACATTAACGCAACACAAGGTGCAATAATCAAAAGGTTAAATGTTTAATGTTTATATTCAATTACATTTTATATAACGTCAAATGTTTTAAACGATGCAATCATAATAATATGATGATTGCATCGTTGATGGCAATTTGAGGGGAATATATTATATTCCCCTCAAGTTATTATTAAAAATCTAAATTCCTAGTTATATAACTATTAACATCCTAAAATCCATCGAAGCTTTATATCCTGTCATTATTAGGAGACTAGGGAGACCGTGAGAAAATTTCATATTACATATAATAATGGTATGATAGGCTTAAAAACTGTCACTGACAAATAACGAATAGTGCAATGCCTTTTTAATTTTTTTAAAAGATTATTACGTAGCTGAAAAATTGACATTTGATGAAAACATCATTATAAAAATTATTTTGGTTTAAGTCACTTAGTAGTTTCATAAAACTACTATTTTGGAAAAAATCATATTTTTTAGCAATATCTAGTTTTCATAAATGTTTGTGCAAAGTTTCAGTATCGTGTGTTAAACTACTTTTCAGTAAAAAAACTAATAAGTGAAAACAAAAACAAAATGGTGGCTGTGTAAGTAAATGAAGACTTCCAGACAATTTAAATTTGATATTTAGATATGCTTCTTACCCAGGAACAATGTCCTAAAATATTGGTAGAGAGGTCCGGGACACTCTGTATATGACAGACTTGCTACTCCTAATTGAACCCGTCTATGTGTCCAGATTTGCCTACAAACACGTTGTATCATGCATGAACAGTTGTTACACGAAGCAAAGAAGATATTCAACATGATAACTACTCCTAGTTAGTCTGAGTCCTTTACCTGGAGACAAGAAGTATGCATAAATGTGAATTGATAACCAAAGCTATGGTCACGTCTAGCCATTCAAACACCAATGTCAGCTTATCTGTGCTTCACCCCACAGATAGAAGATGGTACAAGTGAATAAATGCATTAAATTTATTTAATTTCTGTATAAGATATTCTTCTTTAACTTATGTATCAATAATATGTGTAAGTGTTTCGAACATTTTAACATATCTTTTGTTGCTTATAGTGACTCAAATCTAACCGATCCATGCTGGCTGACTCGTAAAGCTTTTTTACAAACATTTATAAGAATTGATAAAACAAACTCCATCAAGACATATCTATTGAAAAAACGTACAACGCCTTTAGTGTAAATTAAAGAAAAGCAATCGTTTTGTTCTTAGACCTACATTGAATAGGGTTTCGTTTTGTTTTTGGGTTGTTTATTTGCAAGGCTTACTTTACTATTCAATATCTCTATTATTATTGTGTATTTATAAATAAATAGTAAAACTATACATATTATTGTGCAGGGATTTGAATAGGCATTAATTCATATTAATACAGTTTAAACGCTGTACTACGAATAATAAAAATACAAATAAAAAGTTTTTCTATATCTTAAGTGATAAAAATGCCGTAGACAAACTTAAAAAGCAGATTGTGGAGAAGCTGTACTGTACAATCTCCAGGAATATGTAGGATGAAACGCCAGACAAAGGATCTAAGAGATTATCTCGAAAGAAAATTACCTGCGATCCTCGCTTTGTTTTCTCATTTCCTGGTGCCTCATCAATTAAGCTTAATCGCTTAGGAACAATCAATGGTTCTCAGCTACTGTTTTCAACGCCAACCCTCCTAGCTTGGACATTACAAAGGCGCGGAAAACGTTCTGATTTTAATAAAACTGCAACATTTAGCCTATATCAAATTCATTTTAAATTGTATTTTGGAATAACATCTCAACATGATACCTTCAGAAATGGAGAACGTGTGGTATAATCTAAGCACTATTATTTTATACAAATTAACTTCATTCCATACATTTAATACCTTCACACACACATACATAATGTGTGTCCTGGCATTGTGTACATGCGTTTACCGAGTATGCTTACATTTTTATATCACTAAAAATAATTTGGATACTTCAATTCAAATGAAAACGACGAGTACCTAGAGATTTGCTAGGTTGAAAACGTGCTAGGTTTTATTGCTAGCACAAAATAACAATGAAATATAAACAGGAAATCACAACAAATGGAAGAAATTCCAATCACATATTTTTGGTCGAGTTTTCGACCACAGGGTGACCTCTAGTAACATATACAAACGAATACAAAATTTAAATTAATAAAACTTACAGGTGCAAAAAGAACAGACACCGGTTCGACCTAATAATAGTACAGTATTGGACTTTCGGTGATCGTATACTGCCAGCATTTGACTCGTGCCAAAACCCGACGAAAATCGGAGCATAGGCGAGCACGAATTACGGTAGGCAAACTATCGTACACAAGCAAACCGAGTACACTCACACAATCGTACTTGCCTTAGGCTATATTCGGCGATAGTGTAAAAGCAATAAAATCAGTTTTATCTTCGTTTGGGGCTATTTTCTGTTGACCTACGGCTCAGTTCACCCTATGAGAGTCCCCCTGAGGTTTCAAGGAAATATCGATTTTGAAACGTGGCAAGGTCATATCTGGGGTTGTCTTAGGGGTAATATTGTGAATATTTCATGAGACATTGGGAGTGTTATTTTTTACTATTGATTTGTGCTGAAAATTTATAAGATTTTCAGCAATGAGTGTCCCTGAAATTCACCTCAATGTAAATGTAGGTAAAAGAGTTCAAAAGTTTTAGCGAATTTCCCTATAGGAAGTAGCTATTGCCATAGGTGGCACGGGAAGAGGCCCGGGACCGATATACTTTTTCATTTTGATGTCCCCTGAGGCCAAAAACACCATTCGTTCAGATCTGTATATATGTATACATATATACGTCCGTGAACGCGATAACTTGAGTAATTTTTGTTTGATTTTGATGAAATTGGGTTTGAAAGTGTAAGGCGGGATAAACTTGAATGAGTTCGTGACCAGCATTAAAGGACCATGGTAACATGGTATTACGGGGGCTTTTATGGCGTAAAAATAGTTTTCTCACTTTTGACCCTCAAAAGACAAAATTTCCCAGTTTCTCTCTAAGCCTTTTTAAAGAGTAAAAAAATTTAGTATATCAGAGTGTTTTGTACGGTTATTGGTAACATAGAAAATTCAAAAAGTTGTAATTTTAAAATTCCATCTTATTCTTATGGAGAATAATGTTGTAGTTTGCTTGTTTATTGATATATTTGTTGTTCTGAATAGATATTGATATTGTGGCCTAAAATTAAAGTATATGACTAGCAGAATGGTCAAGGTTAGTGAACCTACTCGTTATTGTAACAACAATAACGAATTTTAACAGTTTTAAAATTCTTAACTAATCAGGTCTGGTCTATCACATTGTCTCGAGGCTGTAAAAGTTAAAATCGCAAGGAAAATTATGTAAACTATATTAGAGCTGTCATGATGATTTTTCTATATCAACGAAAAATTCCCACTAATCCAGGTAGAATAATAAATTATCTAAAAATCCTACTGTAATGGCATTTTGAAGTAGCCAGGCTTATTGCTGCCGAGTTTAATCTTTATGAGTGTTGTTGTTTTCAGTCAGTTTTGCATGTTATGGTATGTCAATTTCGTAATTTTTTGGTATGTCAACACTGCTGAAACTAATAAATTGACTGTACAGACATTTTTCTGATAACTTTGATGGTGGAAAGTATTTGCTTGTACTAGATTTTTTTACTCTCACTCATTTTTTCGTATGGCAATCTTTCGGAAATTAATAGACAACGGGTCATTTTTTGTTTCATCCAATTTGTATATTCACGGCTCTGTGTAATCATTTTAATTATTAACAGTTAATTCTGATTTAAAAGTACGAATTACTACTTGAGTTTTTTTGTGATATTATTTCCACTCTTGCTAGACACGTTCACGTTTCACAACACCCGTTAGACACAAAAAGAGAAATGTTGCTCTGGCAGGGAGAGCCCCTGCGTCACGTGTTCCACTTTACACTTTACAACGGCACATTTACACCTCGCGGACAAGATGGATTGTGAGAAGGGAGTCTATAGCTACTACAAGAAACTGTGATTCACAATTGAAATTCTCTGAAGTTAAAAGCAGTATATTCTTAGCCTTAGAATCCCCCTTAGACCTTTTTTAAAGAAATCTACCGTCACGTATATTAGTTAGTTTAGGTCCAATGTTACTTTAATCGCGTATGTTTTAGCATACACATTCTCTAACTAAGTCTTCTCGGTATAAGTCTAAGTAACTTCTTTTTTGCATTTCATATTTTTTTTTACCCTTACAGTTTTTGAACCCCGTTCGAAGCTGGTGTAAACAATTTATGACGAGCAAAGGGTATTGGGAAAACACTTGGAAAATAGTGAGAAAGAGGATTGAAATTTGAAAAGAACCGTAAATTTTTCACATATTTTTGTTATATTATAGCTACACTATTCGTATTATTATTGCACAAGAACGTTACTGAATGTTTTTTTAAAACACATTTTAAGCTCTATATCTTTTTTAAATATTATACATACAGTACTTCTAACAAATGATTTTTAGAATCTGAGTTTTGGACTTGAGTGATTTGATCCGTCTATTCCCTAAAAAAAATGCTAAATAATTATTAAATAAAATTATAATTTTAAATGTTATAAATTATTAAATAGACTGTGACCTGTAGTCTATTCCATTAATATTAGGTGAAATATGGATTTATACTAATCATGATCAGGTGTGGGCACAGTCAGCTGTAGGCCTATGACAAGAATTAAGTGGGGAACGTGATATTCGGAAGAGTGCAATACACTGGGATCTGATAAATTGTTGTTAGAAAATAAGATGTTGCAGAGACAGCTGCAGGGAACGTAAGCGAAGAACTTAGCCTCAGGCTTAGCTCGATGTTTATGTGTTATGTTTGTGTTTGTGTTTGGTAATAAAAACGAAGATTGTAATAGACTAATAAGTGAACTGTGCTTTATACAGTTTTTGATGTTTTAGAATAGTGAACCTCAAGTCACATTTACGGTAAAATAACTACAATACTTTTAAGTGGTTATCTTGAGTTATATGCAAATAAGGAACATGAAAAACTAGTTAGACTATAAATTTAAGTGCTGCGTTATTTTTTATTCATTTAATAACTTTGTTTACCTAAAAGAGGAGGATTCAAGCCTGGACTAGTATCAACCTTCTGTTAGTTAGCATCATATCTTGGTAGCAGAGTGACTTCAATCTGAGTCCTAAATCATTGTTGTCTGTGATCCAACAGGTAATTTTAATAAGTGTTCCTAAGTTTTTAATCAGATTTATAATAAAACTAATGAACCTTGCGTTGTTATGAGCCTGACATTAGTTTTTATTAGCCTATGTAATGTATAATAGGAATGCATAACATAATAGGAATGTATAATGGAATATGATGTATAATAGAAATGCTATTAAAATATCTCCCATTAGTTTCTGACTTCAATAAAAATATGCTGTACAGAGACGTTTGTATGAAGATTATCATGTTCTTTATTTGTGGGAACAAACCTTGACGAATGATAGTATTAAGATGCAAAATATCCTATAGCACTGTTATTCTTTTCTGATAGCTCCGCCAAACAATTTTGGAAGTAACAATAATGAATATTTTCAGAAAACAGCAAGTTTCCCGGCATTAAATCGCTTCCATGTGCTGGTAGACTATATAATAGGCCTATTATATAAACAAAATATCTTGCAGTAGAAAATGGTATTTGCATAATTGTTTTTTCAAAGTCTCGTCTTCACAAAACATGTAGTTCCGGCAGGGATTGAATTAACCGCAACACCACATTACGGTCTTTATACCATGCACACACAGATACGTTAACAACGAGCAGTTAAAGTTGTTTGTAATAACAAGAAGAAACAATCTGGCACATACTTTCTCTAATTAGCTTGTCAATAATATAATAATATTCAAGCAGTGGGAGTATTATGATATTTTATGAGGAAAATCACAAACGTTGCAATAACTTTCGAACTCTGATTTTTAAAGGAGCACATTAATAATACAGGTGTATAGTCAATGATATTCTTTAACTACTAACTCTTGTTTAGAGTCTACAGAACAATAACTTACTAAATTTTAATCAAACTTGTTTTAGCTGTTTTGTGAAAATCCTATCTTTTTCAAAAGTGCAGTGTGTGTATCTGGTAATACACAAGACACATTACCCGAGACATGGTTCCTGTGAAGATATTTCTTTGCCTTATGTTTTGTTATGAAGTTCAGAGAATTACACACACACACGTCACACACACAGATATTACTCTTAAAACCACCTTTTTGGGGGCAAGACATATATTTCTAAAATTTTACGAAAATAACACTTTCCCAATATACCATGTTAATATAAAAATAGGTAAAAGAATGTCATATAGAAAATAGAAAAGTGAGGTAATAGGTGAAAGCGAGGCTGCCGCCCACAGGAGCTGTGTGTCTGAAAATGCCTGCCAAACTTTCTGTTCCAGATGCTATTGTAACGAGTAAAGTTATTTGAAGAAACGATTTACCACCTTAAATGGCTGCTTGCCACCCTTACTTAAAAAAAAAAAAAAAAACTTAAACAGTTCATTTCTATTCAGATGCAAAAGTCCGCAACTGAAATGCATTATTAAATGTAAAAACACGTTCGTTTGGTCGTGTATTACTTAAATTAATTGTTATATTAACTCACCGTTTATAGTCGGACTCATTATCAAAACTAAGTCTTTGCGATATTTTTAATTTTGTACGGAGCTTAAAAGCATTAATTTGTAGGGTGATTACGTTTAAAAGCTGTACTATATTACCTGTTCTTCATCGATATTTACATAAAAAAATTATCTTGTGTGGCTTACTCCATTTCACAATTGCAAAATTATACCTTTTAGTAACAAGAGGTTTTTAAAAGACTCTTAACGCTCAAGATTCCTTTATGTCATCATAAAATATCACAACATAATACCAATTACAACTTGAGAGGCTTTCCTTACGCTTACAGTAATAGTTGTTTATTGTTTCTATTTTTTACTTTAATGTTAATAAGCTTAAAATAACAGAATAGATCCTACAATCGTCATTATGTGTATCTTTAAATTTTAAACAAATTAATTGAACCTTAATTATTCTAGATAATAACGGTACTTCGGTTACGAGGAGCCTAGAAGAACGAAACATTTTGTATAGTTTTGAATAGAATGTTTTATCAAGCTCCATTCCTGTTTGAAATTATACCACCTACTTACTTCAAAAACGCAGCAATCTAATTGATGACAGTATTTTGACATCGCAGTCCAAGTACTATGCTTCGTTTAGTCAAGTGGCCATCATAAGGCGGCGCTGCGACTGCCCAAAGCAGGAGAGGAGACATACAACATTACTGATACAGTCCAGAAAGTAGCTGAAGCGTACAACTGTAAGCCTATTGAAGGTATGTTAAGCCACCAGCTCAAACAATTCAAGATTGATGGGGAAAAGACCATCATCCAGAATCCCAGTGACGCTCAAAAGAAGGAGCATGAAAAATTTGAATTTGCCACTTATGAGGTTTACGCTATGGATGTACTCATAAGTTCAGGAGAGGGTGTGGGGCGGGAGATGGACACGAGAGTTTCAATCTACAAGAAAACAGATGAAACGTACCAGCTGAAATTGAGAGCATCAAGGATGTTCTATTCAGAAGTAACACACAAATATGGGACAATGCCCTTTAACTTGAGGAACTTTGAAGACGAGAAGAAGGCTAGGTTGGGGGTAAATGAGTGTGTCAACCACAAGCTGATTGAACCCTTCCAAGTCTTATATGAAAAACAGAATGAGTTTGTGGTCCAATTCAAGTTCACTGTACTACTGATGCCCAATGGTCCTCATAGAATTACCGGTTTACCCTTCGAGGCAGAGCTTTACCAGTCAGACTTAGCTGTCAGTGATCCTCAGCTTAAGACCATTACACAAAACACATCAGCCAAACCTAAAGCCAACAAAAAGAAGAAAAAGAAGGTTGGAAAGGCTGGAGAAGATGTAGTCGGAGAAGTTGAAGGAGAAGCTTGAAAAGAATCAATTGGGAAACGGCGGATTGAATTCAACTGACTTGCATATTAAATCAAAATGGGATGAGAACGGATGCACAAAGTGCCACAATTTGGAAGAGACTATGAAGAATGTTGATTTTTTAAGGTAGAAATTGGTTTTATATCAGTGAGGAGGATTTTAGTGTTTCAATTAAGATTAATTTTGTTTTGCCCTGGGACAGAGAACCTTTGTGCCTTGTTGGCTTTTTATGTTTGATTCTTAACATGCAATAAACATTGAACTTTGTAAATAATTATAATTTTTGTTCAGTTTTCTTATCATTACAATATTGATAATTTATACTTATATTGTTTCATATAATCACAAAGTATTTAGTTAAGGTAGGACAGCAATATTTGTCTTGTACCTGATTCTCACTGTTAATTTCTGGAATTGTTCTTTACATATTATTTCTAACATTCTCATTTTGTAAAATAACTTACACCGCTATTAAACTCATTGACTCTTGTGTTTTTGAAAAAAAAAACCTTACAAAATTATCATTGAATTAACACAAAAAGTAATACTAACATAGGTTGTACGATACATTCATAACATTTAGTTAAGTAAAGTTAAATTTTACTGAAATAAATTAGTTAGTCTTCACGTTTTAATTGCGAATAATACAAAAATAACAAAGAAGCTTTATTTAAATGTAATCACTTTTGCTTCCTTTCTTGCCAGAGTAATGGAAAGCCTTCCTTCAAGATCCCATTGAGAATACACCGACAAAAGGCCAAGTAATTAAGAAAGAAATCTTATTAAAGGGCAAGACTCGAGGATTTTTTCAGTAACGAAGTCATGAAAAAGAAATCAAGGCTTCCTGATATAAGACATGTAGTAACGAAAAACAGTTAAACCTTCTAGGCGACTTGTAGAGCACAGTTTTTGTCAATCATACACTTGAAAAGATTCTATACTTAATATCAAACATTTATGTAGGAAGTATATATTTGTTCTCATTTATTTTATATCCATTAGCCCCTTGTTCAATTGGTACAACATTAAAACTAAGTGTTTGCGTACTTCTTTTTGAATTTAACAAATTTTAGTAACATGTAGGGAGGGTATTGTTGTCATTAATTGACAAAAAATATGTTTCAGTGAACGTTAGATTGGATAAATGAGAAAGCGATGTATCCAAAATTGAAGACACACTTGTGCAGACGAGTTTGAAATATGGTTAGGATGTGCGCTGGGGAAGAGAGCAATAACTAAAAGTCGAGATTTACTGTTATTAAATAACATGTTATTGAAACAGCTGTTTAGGACGGGTCTCAATACGTTTCTATACAATACACTCAATACACTGTACGCAGTTTTAATAGTGCAAGACATAATACAAATATAGGGGAAAAATTATAAAATATACTTGTCGAAAATATAGCTTGAAGATTATTATTTAGCCATTCTGTTTGACTATTCTTATTAACCTTTAATTAAGTAGTAAAATATAAATTATTGAACGGTTTAAAGATACATACAAAAATAAACAGTTCAGTGAATTTTATCCAACCAGGAATTCAGCAAATACACATACGAGTATAGCTTCCATTTTTTATGGGTTTGATTAACTTGTTTAATAAATATGTATTAACTTTGCATATTCATATAAGTATATATTCCTATCCCAAGTTAAAGTTTTCCCTGGTTTCCGAATTGTGAAACATACAGTAGTGAAATTGAGCCTCATAGAGAGTAAGCTTATTTGAATTACCTACAGTATATATTTCTACCGATTACGGCTACTTTTTTACGGAGCCAAGCTAAAATGCAAACGTACTTCAAACCTTGTATGGTTTTAAAACTCCAAATATTTAAGTATTAAAGAAATTAAGGGAGAAAAAAATATAACCGTAGCCTATTCTCACTATGTTTTAAAAAAATTGCGACTATTGGTCCTCATAGATGGGAAGTATGTTTCAGTAAACAAAAGGCAAATGGATAACCTTCTTGGTTTAGCAGAAAAGTTCCAATGTTCATTTCATGTTACAGGCGAAGTATGCATAGTTCATTGCCAAAATTGAACGAGACAAAATATGAAATAAAGCTAATTATATACATTGCCTAGTAGTTCTTTAGAACACCCATTACACTATTGGCAAATTATAAAATACGCCACTGTAGGATGTTTAGACTTTTCATTCCTTCTTTGGCCTTAACTAATCTAATCTTAAATAAACTAATCCAACCGTGTAAAATTTATTTTATTATTCTAAAGGACCATTTTATACTTTTGATCCCTATCTTGGCTAATTTACACTAAGATTTACTAACCTTATCTAACCTAACCTAACCTAAACATACACAAATTATTTTAATACTGTAAAGTAAATAGTATTTTACAGCTATCTTTAGCTTATACTTACTTTGCCTGACACACATGTGGGCCACAAAGCCTAAACAACCTATTATTACTCAATTTCAAACTTTTTCTTCAGGTATATAATCCCTAGTCATTATATATAATTATTGCTGTATACTTTGACGGTAACATATACTTTACAAAAATGTGATTAGGAATTTCGTTTTAAAAATGCTTAAAAGAATTACAGGCAAAGTAGAGTTTTATACAATAAATACGAATTCTATTATTTTAATTAGGGGTTTAACATTAAAATCTCTGTGACGACTGAACCAATATTAATGATTTATCCGTCACATAGAAGAGTTTATTATATTAAATCACCAGTTTTTAAGAGAATTCTAGGATACTTTTCAATTGAATTTTAACGCCTTGTGATTGCAGTTCTTTGACAGTAGTATTTAGTTTTGAATTGCAAAATTGAGATTTGAGAAATGTTCTCAACCCTCGGAGCCTCAAATTCCTCGAATATACCTAAACCTCCTCTCTGCTCAACAGTTTTTGACGAGTGCTTCACCAACCGCTCCAGCCTTCTCAACTTACAAGCTGTAGATTCACCAGAAACACCCACTGTAACAACCACAAAGAACACCCATTGATTGGTCTCACGCACCAACTCCAAAACTGTAACCTTCCCACAATGTGCTGCTACAGGTTACTAACGTTTAGCTTCAGCTCCGGCTTTCAACCAACTGGACCTGATAACAAAGACAGATTTTCTGTATTGAAGAAACGAACAAATAAATTCCCCTCACTATCATGATGATGATCTTGTTAATACTATTTATCGGAAACCAAACATTCTTCTACAAAATTTCCATATTGTATTTAAAAAATGTTGAGGAAAGTGTTGACTAAACCATAAAACTTATATTGTAAAAACTTACCAACAAACAAATTTAGGAATATTTGCGAAGTACGAAGTATCTAGAAAACTAAACTAAACTTTACTGTTTAAATTGCAGTTTCAATGTTTAAACCGTTTAAGCGAAATACTGCACAGCTGAGTTTGAGTAAGAGGTTCGCTTGACTTGTAATCTGCGAGGGAATTTATCCTGTAAGTAGCTTTAAAAAGAAGCAACGTAGCCCTTGAGTATATCAATTTATTTTGTATTTTTGTAATAGCTTTGAAAGATATTGAATGTATTGTATTTATCACAACTATAATTTAAAATAACTCTCGTAAAGGGTTTACAGTATTTTACACATGTATTTACATCTTAAACTTGTGCTAAACACAATAAGCATTACAATGACCATTAGTTTCCAAAATCTATATTTTCTATCTAAGTAATTGTTTGTGTACTTATTGTATCAACCACAAAACTTATTTTGGTGTTCGGGAAAAAAAATACTAAACAGCAGATATCATAAAGGGGTTTCCTAAAACTATTGACACATACAAAATATTCTTAAACTACTTTTTAATACAGTCAGAGCAAACAAACTGTGCTATACTCGAATACAATAACAACAACAAATCAAATCACGGTATTTAGAAAACTATCCACTTTTGCAAAAAAGGTCAGATTTATAGCAGAAAATATTACTGAACAAAAATACTTTACATAAAGTTCTTATGATCAACTAATCTTGAAACTAGTAGAAAAGAAAGATTTAGAATGGTGAAAGTCGATCAATAGTGGCAATTTATTCAACAATGTATTGCATACATAATACAATAATAACAAAACAAAAACTCATATAATAAGGATGTTTTTTTTCTGTCAATTTACAAACCTAAAGAATTTTAAATTCTTTAACCGTTTGATGCCTAACATCCAACATATAACATTTTTTAAAGATGAGCTTATACAGTGTGTAAATGAAGTATGGAAACAAATCTGTATTTTTTCATCCGAAATAGATGTAAATATTCCGTTTATGGCATTGATTGTTAACAAAGGTTCCACAATTGTATACATCAACAATATTTTTTAGCCCCCCTAAAAGAGGAAGAAGGTAGGGAGTGGCCTGTTTTTTTTTCAAAGAGCAACGCCTATTGAGTGACCCCTCATTTCGAAGGGCATGTCAAAAGAAACAAAATGACGCAATTCCGAGGTAAATATCTCCCCCTAGCCAAAATGGTGGGTATTACAAAATTGATTTACGCGAAAAAGCACTCAATCAACCAATTCAAAAATTTGGGAATAGTAGACTAAATAATTGAGTGACCCTTCATTTTATTCATATCATTACAATCTCCATTTAATCTACATTGTGCATCTGCATTCCGAAGGAGCTGAGACAACTAGAGCTACTTAAATTAATTATTTATAAAATTCCAATTTCTTATTTCAGCTATTTCCCATTTTATTTTAAATTCCTAAAATTTTATAAAATTACTTTTTATCAAATTTGTATACATGACTTTAATCATAATTAACGTTCTGGGCAACCAGATTTGGACAGATAGCCTAAGGGTATCTCAATTTAAATCATTATTTTTAGTGTCACAAGGGCTATAAAATGAAGGTTTACTGAATTCGGTCTCCTATGACATAGCAAATTTTGAATTATCATTCATTTGTAGAATGGGTGCTTTTTCACATTAATCTAATTTTGGAATACCCGCCGTTTAAGCTAGAGGTTAAATATCTACCTCGGGTTTGCATCATTGTATTTATTTTGACAAACCCTTCAAAATGAGGGGTCACTCAATAAGGGTTGCTATTTGAAAAA